CTAATTATTTTCTAAAAAAATGATTTTTTAATAACTGTTATTTTTCATATCTGACTAATCATCTAATATTTGTATTTTTGTTCTTTTTCTTTATTTAATTGAAGGAGTGGAACATAATATTTTATTTTATTCTTCTATTTCTTATTCTTCTCCAATTTTTTAGAAATCTAATTTTTATATTTATTTTTGTATTAACTAATTATTTTATTATTATACTTCTGGAATCATTTAATTATTAATTAAAATATTGGTTTTAAATTACATTATATTTCTGTGAATTACTTTCTAGTGATTAATAGTTAAATTAAGATTGAAAGTAGTTAATTGCACATTCATCTAAATTATTTATTTTCTATCTAGTCTTATTTTATTTGATCATTTATTTATTTTTTATGAAAAATTTTAAGCTTTTTTTTTATTTAATTTTATAAATTTAATTTTAAATATTTAAATTCCGCTAAAATTGAATTTTAAAATCGAATTTTTATAAATAATAGTAATTAATTAATAAAAAGTCTTTATCATAATAATATTTATTAATTATTTTCTAAAAATAATAATTGAATAATGCATCATTGATTTAAATTTATTAAATTAAAATAAAATATATTAAAATCAAAATAAATATAAATCTTTTTTAAGAAGTACAATTTTTATAAAATTTATGAGTTCTTAATCTTTAAATAACGATTCAGGAGATGAATAGAGTAAAAATTCTTCCCTTTATAAATTAGACTAAAACATAATACAAAAAATATTTGATAAATAATTTGGTATAAATAGTGTATATAAAATTGAGTTCGAAGATGAGAGCAAAAATGAAAATAAATATGATTAAAATTATATAATTTTTATGATATATAATTAATAATAATAATATGTTAAAATAAAAGTAATTAAAATAAATTTAATAATTAGACTTATTAATTATTTTATCAACAAAGTATATCCGAAAAAGCCATTAAGATAATACTAAAAATTATTTAAAGTTAGAAGATATGAATATTTATCCTATAAAAAATGTAAAAAATGATGAAATTAAATAACTAGAAAAACAATTAAATGACGAATTCAATTTTAAAAAATAATTAAAAGATTTAAGTGAAACAACCAAATTAGAACGCATGCTTGAAAAGGTAAAAAGCATTTTTAAAAAAATTAATTAAAAAAAGGTAAAACTTTTTTTTTAAAAAATAACTAAAAATTAAACTAATTAAAATTCATTTGTCCCTTATCCTGGAGGCTCGATCATAGCATGGAGTCCGAATGGAAATTTAGCGTTAATAAAAAATTTGAAAATTAAGTAATATATTCAAAAAGAAGATATTAAAATGATTGATAATGAATTAAAAAAAAACTAGCTTTAAGAAGCTATTTAAAAAGCCAGAAGAGATTCAAAACCATTAACTATAAATTATAATTAAAACGAATAATGTTATTTAATCACAGAAAATGAAGATACTGAAGAACAAGTATATAAACATAATTTTAATTAATAATAATAAGAAGATGACAATATAGATAGCCATGACTTTTTAAATTTTAAGTTTGAAACATAAAACCCACTTTCAGGTGTGTTAAAAACATCAACTTTTTTCACTAATAATTTTGATTACTCAAATAAAAATGTAATAGAAAGTAAAGTAAATATGACAAATATCAACTATTCACTTGAGAAAATACAAAAATTAAAAGATGACTAATATTATATAAAGTTTACTAAACTAATTGAATAACTATAATAAGACTAATAATAAAATAAAGAAAATGAAGATATTTTATCATTAATATATGTATAATTTTTTATATTTATTTTTTATTATTTTTAATTTTATAATTTAAAGATTTTTGATTTTGAAAAACAAATTCTAAAAAAAGAAAATAATTTTGTTTATTTTTTGTAATAGATGATTGAAAACGAAAAAAATAAAAATTCGCCTTATTTATAATATATTAAAACTATTTTTAAAGATATATATAGTAATTTAGTTTATGAAGATTCTAAAAGTATTATAAAATTAATTTTGAATAAATTAGAATGTGAAACACTATAAGAAACAGAAGATGTGAGTTGTATTGGAAACATATTAATTTAGCATTATTTTTAAGATTAGTTATTTAAAAATTCCGAAAAATATTTTATTATTTGCTTTCAATCAATTCTTTTAGAAAGCTTTATTTAATTTATTAGAATAAAAAATAATATTTTAAGTAATTTAGAATTATTAAAAAGTGTTTCTAAAAAAAATTAAAATTTCGAGTTTAAAAAGGATGAATTAGAATAGTTTTTAAAAAAATTTTCTATAGATACTTTTTCATTAAAATAATTTAAAAGAATTATGCTTGAAAATATTTAATTTAAATTTTTTATTTATAAATAAGATGAAGATGACTATGAAAATTTTTACTTAACCAAATAAGTAATAAAATACATTAATAAAAAAAATATAAATTAAAAAACAAAAAAAGTTGTCAGAGTAACCTTTATAAGAATAATAATAATCTTCTAATTTAATTTAATTTTCTAATACTTTGTAAATTACAAATTAACTGAATGGAAAGCAACCTTTTTATAAACTTTATAAAGTTAACTATCATTAAACTTTTTTTAAAAAAGTTGATAGATATTAAATTTTAAAATATAACTAAAAAGTAATATAAATAATATTAATTATTAATATTTTGTTTTTTGATTTAAATTATAAATATTTAATAAGAAAAACTTTTTAAACTAATTAAAATAAGTGCAATAAAATTTAAATAAAAGAACTTTGTTTGTGAAAGAAAGATTTATTTAAAAACAAATAGAATTAAACGAAAACATTTATTAAGCAATAGATTTTATAAATAATATCTATTTGAAAATTTAAAATAAAACGGGATAAGGTACGTATGAAGAAAAAAATAATTTAAAATAAAAATATCCAGAAGGATTAAAATGTAGTATTTGTGAAATACAAGTATAATATTATTATTTTTATATTATAATTAGTAAAAATTAATTAATTTTAAGATATTCAGAGGAAGTATTATAAAATGTAAACTATGTAATCATGGAGGCCACAAAGAACATATTAAAGATTGGTTTAAGAGGGTAAATATAATATTAAAAATAAAAAAAATTGTAAATAAAATAAATAAAGAATTCACATTGTCCATAATGCTAATAATAATAATAATAATAATAATAATAATAATAATAATAATAATAATAATATCAATAATAATAAATATGTCATTGTTTTAAATTTTGATTTACAATTTTTTTATGCAATTTTTGTTAATGTAATAAAATTTTTTTAGAAATTTATTTAAAAAAATTTTTACTAATTAAAAATATTAAAAAGGTTATATATTTAAAAAAATATTATACAATTTTAAAAATTATATATTAATTTATATATAATTAATAAATATATAATAAAAAATATTTTTTTATTTAATATATATTTTTTATTTTATAAATCATGAAGAATTTATATAATATATTAAATAAAAATTTAGAAGTTATAAATATTTTTATTTATTGTATTAAATTATAAAAAAATTATAAATAAATAAAAAAAAAATCTAATGTCAAAATTAAAAAAAATAAATACATATTAAAAATAATTAATTTAAATATTTATAAAAAGATATAAATATAAATCTTTAAATAAATATAAATAATGAATTCAATTTCTTTTTTTAATTTTGAAAATTAAATAATATGAATTAATTAAACTAAAATATAGTTAAAATATATAAATTTTTAAAATAATCATAAGAATATTTCGAATTGATGAGAGAATCAGTAAAAACTTACATTGAAAAATTTTACTTTATAATATGAAATATATATATATTATAAATTATATATTATATATTATATATTATATATTATATATTATATATTATATATTATATAAATTAATATTATATATTTTTGTTATATAATTATAAGATTTAAATTACTTTTTTTTAGTTATATTTTTTTATTTATTAATATTATATTATTTTCATATAATTTTATATTTACAAATAATTTTTTTTTATATATAATATCTTTTTTTTAAAATATTTTTATTTTTATTTTTATTTTCTTTTTTCTTTTATATATCTTTTTTTTATATTTTTTTTTTCTTTTTATTTATTACATTTCTTTTTTAACATTAACAATAAAATTTATATTTATTATTTAATAGAATATTAAATTATATATTTATTATTTTTTATATTATCATATACATATATTTCAAATTTTTTATATTATACTGCATTAATTTAGTTTTCTATTATACATTTTTTATACTTTATATATTTATTATTTTTTTTAATATTTTTCATAAAAAAATCTATTATTCAATTTTTTCATTTTTTTTATTTATAAAGTTTTCTTTTAATTATATAAATATATAAAAAAATAAAATATATTTTTTTTTAACTTAATTTAAATTAATATTAAAATCTCTTTTAATATATATAATATTTATAATAAATATTTATAAATTCAATCTATATAATACATTATTTATTAATAAAAATTATTTTATATAAGAATTTAATTTTTAATTAATTAAATTAACGGTATAAAAATTTATAAATAAAATTTATTCGTATCCCATTATTTTTTAGAATTTTTTAAAAATAAAATAATATGATACAAATATAATTAAAAAAAAATACAATGTACTTATTATGAATAATAGACAATAACTTATGAATATATAATTTTATATATTAATTATAAGCATAAAAGATAATTAAATTTAAAATGACATTATATGTTTTAGTTTTTATTTTTTATAAAATAAAACAAAAGATTTGTCATTTATAAAATATTTAATGATTTATTTTATTATATTAAAGATTTATATTAGATTAAGTATTTTTTCAAATTATTTTTATTATTTTTTTCTTAAAAATAGGTATTAAATATAATAAATTTACATTAAGACAAAAAATTAAAAACAAATTAAAAATCATATATTTTATAAAAAAATAAATAACTATTCAATAAAATGTGTGGAATTTGTTTTTGTATAAATGGAATATAATTAGCTAATAATTAAATAAACTTTAATTTATTTGAAAAATATATAAGAAATCCTTATATTGATAAACATGAAGGATTAAGAGAAAAACATTTGAAAGCAAGCTTTGACATTATAAAAAATATTCAAGAAAAAAAAAATATTATCAATAATTTTGATATTAATGCAATTAAGTAAAGTATAGGTCCGAGAGGTCCAAACATATTTACATATAAATAATATTCAATATAAAAAAATCAATAAACAATTTAGGAAAATTAATAAATTTTTAATCAAAATATTTTTGATAATTAATCAAATAATTTGACTTTGACTTTTTGTAACAGTTTATTACATTTAAGAGGATAAAACAATATTTTAAATATATAACCAATAACAAATTCTACTCAAGAATAAATATTAATTTATAACGGTGAAATTTATACAGATTAAAATGATTAGTTTAATACGTTTGAAAACGATACATTGTAATTATTTAATATCCTTACAAAATCAGATAAAGAAGACTTAAAATATGAAGATTTTATTATTAATTAATTAAATAAATTATGGGGAGATTATGCATTTATTTTCTTTGATAATTAACAAAAAAAAATAGTTATTGCTAAAGATCCTTTTGGCAAAAAATCTCTTCTTTTAGGTTTTTCTGAAAATGGATTTGCATTTAGTTCATGTGCGATAAATATAAATATGGAAAAATAAAAATTAGATTAAGACATAGAAGAAGAAGAAGAGGAAACAAAAAAAGATTATGAAGACAAAGCTTATAATTTAACTGATGATACATAACGTATATAATTTTTAGAAAAAAAGTATTTACACGAATTTTTCTAAGGATAATAAAAAGAATGGATAGAAATTCCATAAAATACACTTATTATAATAGATATATAAAATCCTAACTAATTTATATGGAATTAATATGAAATAAATAATATATTATATAATATTTAATATAAAACATATCCTCATATGGAACCTTGTATAGAAAGTCCTTTATCTTTTAAGCAAACTATATATGAAGCAATATAATAAAGTGTAAAAGAACATATAGAAAATATTATTGAATATAAATACTTTTTTAAAGATAATAAATTACAAGGTGAATAATAATTTAGTAATTAAATAAATAGTCAAAGTACTTTTACTGATTCCAAAATTGCTGTCTTATTTTCAGGAGGTTTAGATTCTACGATTCTTACCTATTTCTTGGATAAATTATTACCTCCAGATTAAAGGTTCTCCATATTTAAAAATAATAAAATATTATATGTATATAATTTAGTATAGATTTACTCAATGTAAGCTTTAATTTAAATGCTTCTTCAGATAGAAAAACAGCCCTTTTTGCTATTTAAGAATTATAGTAAATAAATCCAAATAGAAAATATAATTTAATCCTAATTGATAAAACTGTTGATAATTTAAAAGAATATGAAGAATACTTAATTAAATTAATTTATCCTAAATGTACACATATGGATTTTAATATAGCTTTAGTTTTACATATTGCTACTTAAGGTAAAGGTTATTTACATACAGATGTTGTAGAAAAAAAAAAAATAACATCAGGAGCTAAAATAGTGCTAAGTGGATTAGGTTTTTTATTTTTATTTTTATATGAGTTTAATTTAAGTAAAAGGGGCTGATGAAATATTCGGAGGATATTCAAGATATAGAGTTGCTTTTTAAAGAAATGGATACTAAGATTTAATACAAGAAATGAATTTTGGTTTTTTTATTAAAATATATTTATAAGTCAATCAAAAAAATACAATTTTATAGATTTATTAAGACTTTGGATAAGAAATCTTGGTAGAGATGATAGAGCAATTTCATAAAATGGAAAAGAATGTAGATTTCCATTTCTTAATTAATAACTAATACAAACAGTGAAAAATAATATTGATTTTAATTATTTCACTAATTTTAATTTACCAAGAGGTTATGGTGATAAAATAATACTAAGATAAGTAGCTCTTTAATGCGGATTAATGTATCTATAATATATTATTATGCTTATATTATAACATAGAAATAAAATATTTATAGTTAAACATCCGATTTTAGAAAAAAAGCTATTTAATTTGGAACTGGACTTGCAAAATAATCTAATATAAGAACTTTCGGAAGTAATAGAAAAGCCAAAGGTTGTTTTAAATATAATGTAAACAAAAATAAAAAAGATTTTTGATTTAAAAGTAAAAACACATGAAAAAAAATATTTAATTTTTATAAAAATATAATTTATAATTTTAAAAACAAAATTCATTATTTTATAAATTTACTTTTTTCATTATTACTTTTTTGCTAGAAAATTTCTATTTATAATAAAAATTTTAAAATAACTAATTATATATTTATTACACTAAGCTTGTTTATTATTTTTTATCTTTTTTTAATTTTAAAATTGCATTTTTGTTTATTTAGGTTATTATTTCTCTTTAATTGTATTTTATGCTTTTTATGTTTTAACATTTAAATTTTTTAAATGTTGGGCAATAAATTAATCATCATCACTAGTTTCACCTTATTTTTTTTAGTTATTTTCTATATTATTATATTATGGCTATATAGATTATTATTGTGATGATTATGTATTAATTTCTTTTAACTTTTTAATTTATTAATCCATAGAATTCATTGATTATTATTTTTGTTATATTTCATTTTCTTCTTATTCATTAATAGTTCTTTTTTTTATTGATTTCTAATTAACGATTGTCGAAGGTATTTTTTCTTCTTCAATAATATCATTAATACATATGTAACTATTTTTACAGCTATAAAAAATTATTTAACATATTTTTTTATAAACAAAATAAATGTCACCTAAGATGCTCTTATAAATTATTTTTAACATCTTCAACATTGAAATTTAAATTTTCATAACATAATGCAATCAATCTTATTTCACAAATTTACTTTTAATATTAAATTAATTCTTATTTTGTTAAAATTTTATTATTCAAATCAAAACAATTATTAGAAAAATAGGAAACTTCGAAAAAAGGCTTCACTTTATCATAATTTTTTACGAAATATTTTTCTAAAAGACTTTGTATATAGAAATTTTTAAATAAACAAATTAAAAATATAAAATTATTATTTTATTACTTTTAAGCTATATCTATATCAATCTAATAAAATTCATATAAACTTACCTAAATTATATTTTTATAATTCTAAAAATAAAAAGTATAAGTTTACTATTCTATTATTTATTTAAGAGTCTATAATTTATTAAGTTTATTTTTCAATTTCTTAATTACTCATTTATTTTCCTTTTTTTATATTTATTAAACAAAATATATATATTAAAAAATATGCGCTTTAAAAAAAAAAATCTAAAAAATAATAAGCGGGATTTTATTAAATAATAAATATATATTTCTTTAATATATAAACGTAATTTACTAAATAATATGATTTATTTTTCAATAGTTTAAAAAATCATTGAGGAAGAAATTATGAATATGAAAATATTAATATAAAAAAATAACTACTAATTATCTTTTTTTTATAATATTATTTTTAAATAATTTTTTTCGAGTGATTTGTTTTATAAAATTTAATCAACAAAATAAAAGTAGTGTAAATTGTTATCGACTATTTTTTTATTAATAATTTTTTTTTTTTTAAATATGAATATGTATTATTTTATTTTAATTATATTAATAAGATAATATTAATAAAATAATTATGAGAAAGAATTAATTCTCTAATATATATACATTTTTAAAATTAATAAAGTTTTCTATATTTTTATTAGTAATATATTAAAATTTTAAATATATTAATCAATTTAACACAAAACGCATATAGTTTGTTAGAAAATTAAAAATAAAGAAATATAAAATTATGATTTAATTAAAATTACAAAGTTTTATTTGTTTTAATTAATTTAATTTAAAAATACTTTATTTTTGATTAATATGAGACTGAATTTTTAATTTATTAATAACCATATTAATTATTTAAATAAAAAAATTAAATTAAAATTATTTATTTTATTTTTAAATTAGGATCGATATTTTAGAAAAATAGAGAGAGAGATTTCAAAAGAAAATATAAAGAAATTAAAAATATTTAGAAAAAAAAAAAAAACAAAAAGAGTTTAAAATTCTGAATTAACTTTTCATAAATTTAAAAATTTTTATAATTAAAACTACTCAAATAATTTTCTTATTTTCGTAAATGCTTTAAAAATATATTTTTAAATCAATAAAACATTTTAAATAATTTCTTAAAATGATTTATTTTATCAAAAAATAAATATTTTTTTTTCAGTGAATAAAAAAAAAAACAAAAATTTTTAGAAAAAAAAAAAAATAAGAACATAAAAAATACATAAAGCGAAAGTGTATATTTTCGGTTTTATTTTTATAATATAATATAATCTCATTTATAATAATACAAAATATATGATAACATTTATATTAATTACTTTAGTAAGGATTTTTAAATTAATTATTATTAATTCCATAATTTTAAAAAATATTAATTTTTATTTAAATATACTTTGTATATAAATATCTAAATATATAATTTTTTTTTAATTAAATGAAAAAAATTATTTAAAGTGAAAAATTAATTTTGTTTTAAAAAATATAAATTTATTTTTTAAAATTATATATCCTATATTTGATTTATACAATTATTTCAATTTAATTTTAATTTGTTATTTATAAAGCTTTTTTCTTTGTAATATGCTAAATAAATTAATATGATATATATTAAAATTCAATATATATATATATATATATATTAAATTAAAATTGCTAGGAAAAAAATTAAAATAATAAAATTAAATTAATTTAATATTATTTAAAATTATATTTTATTTTTTAAATATATACTTTAATAAATAAATTAAAATATATAAATCTTTAATAATAAAATGTCATACATTAATAAATAAGTAATTTGTTTGATGGATAAATTTATTAACATTAAAAACAATTATAAAGTAATTTTTCGGTTTTATAATTTATCTAAATTATAAAGCTTTCTAATATATATTTTATGAATCTTAAGAATTTCAATTAAATCTATATTGATATTTTATCTAATTTATAATAAAAAAATTATCTTTATAAAATATAGAACAGTTTTTATTTTAATTCATTCTCTTGATATGTGTATTTCTTAATATATGAAATAATCTATTTATCAATTTACAGTTTAAATAATGGATTTAATAATACTTAATTAAAATATATTTTAGTAGATTTACTTTAATAAAAATTAACATAATACATTTTCATCAATTAATGAATGCCCTTCTATTAAAAATGATAAATTTGAATTAGATTCTTTAAGAAAAATGAATATATTTGATATTATTTATCTTTTTTCCTAAATATTCTAATTATATTTAATTTTAATGTAGTAATTTAGAAACATTTAATAAAAAAAGTTATCTTTTTTTGCTTAATAAAGTTGTAAGAAATTAGAAAATTTAATTAATTAAATTGACAAACAAATAAATAAAAAGAATATTAATATATAATATAATTAAAAGAAATAATAAAAAATTAAAAAGGAGAAAATTTTAAATAAAAAAATTATGAAAAGAATAATAATATAAAATACATAGTATAACAATAAAAATAGAATACATAAAATTAATAAACAATAAATAATAAATAAAGTTAACAATAAAAAATAAAAATAAATAATAATTTAAATAAATAAGTTGGATAATTTTTTAATTAATAACAAGAGGAAGATTAATTCAATTCAAATAATTAAAAATATTAATACGACTAAAGTAGTTAAGAAACTAATGATATTAATAATTATGAATCTAAAGAAATTATTTCTTCTTAAAATTAAGTTAATATAGAATATATTAAAAATGGGAAAAAAGAAATAAATAACGATTTAAAATAACAAAAAACTAATAATAAAGAAATAGAAAACATTAAAATATTTTAGTTAGGTATAATTAATTAATAAAATTAAATGAAATAAGTTAACAAAATTAAATTAATAAGACGATTAAGATAATTAAATACACTATATATTTAATATTTAAGGTAAGGATTCAATAATAAAAACTGTAAAAATAAAAGATATAAATACTTATGAAGAGACTTTGTATAAATATTCAAGTCAAAATAACTTAAATTAAGAAGAAAACATAATATTATAAATATAAATATTATAATAGTTAATAATTAATGAACAAAAATTAGAATAAATAAAAAATTAAATATAATTCTTTAAAGATAAATAAATCTATTTTTAAAATTAAAAATTAATTGATAAAATAATACAAATTATTAATAATTATATTAAATGTTTATGAACTTAAAAAAGTATTGTAAAGATAAAAGAAAATAAATAAATTATTTTGAAAAATTAATATTAAATCTATTTGTTTTAATTTTACTATAATTATATATATTTTTTATTTATATTTTAAATTTAAATTAATTAATATTCAAAAATTAAGTTATTTTTTTATAAATAAATTATATAAATATAAATATTAATAAAATATATATATATATATATTTTTATATATATATTTATATATATATATATATTTTTATATATATATATATATATTTTTTTTTATATAAATATACTTTTTAACTATTTTATTTAAAAAGATAAATTATAAAATGTTTTCAAGTATATTAATTGAAAAAAAAATTATTTTTAATTGTAAATAAACTTTTATTTAGGTATAAAAGACTCTGCAATATATAATTAAATTGGAGAAGAAAGAGATTTTGCCCATAAAAAACCTTCAGAAATTTAACTTTTAAATTAAATAAAAATACAAAAAAAAGAATTATCATTTTTAAATAACATAAGTTTTTATTTATTATTAAAAAATAATTATATAAAGCATTTTTTTTAACATTTTTTTATAGATACTAGATTAGGTTAAGAGTTAGTAGTTTTATAGAGGAGATTATGTATTCATCCTGGTTAAAATCCTTTATAATTTTCTGAATAATAAAATATAAGCAATATTTCAAATTTAACTAAAGAATTTGGATATTTTGAACCTTTACTATAAGCTTATGATGAAAAAATTTAAAGAATGGAAAAAATTATAGAAACTTGCTACGAAGATCTTCGAGATATGGAAAAAAAGGGCGATGCAATTATTTAAGACAATAATGAATTAAGATAAGAATTAGAAAAAAATGCTAAGCAATAATATAAATATATAAAAATGGTGAACCAATTTAAAATATATCTAGTTCCTTTTGTAAAAAAATAATTTAAAAAATATTTATATTTTATTATTATGATAATAAAAACAAAGAATAATTAGAAAGAGAAGATTTATGCGATAAAATAAATAATTTAATTGAGGAAAATAAAGAATTATAATAAAAATTCAACGAAATAAGTTCTAAAGAAAATTATGTTTAAAAATAACTTGAACAAAAGATAGAACAAATTGATTAGATATAAAAAAAGTATAATGATTAATTAGATAAAATAAATAAATTAGATTTAGAAAATAAGAACCTTAGTTAAAATTTATAAATAATATCTAATAAAAATAAACAATAATAAGATAATTGTAACTATTATGAAAATGAAAAAAACGAACTTAATTTAACAATATAAAGATACTAAAATGAAATAAAACTTTTAAAATAATAACTTACTAATTTAAAAAAAATTAATAAGATTAAGAAGAAAAATAAAATAAATAATTATAATAAATAAATTATGAAAACGAATAACTAAAAATTAAAGATAGAGATAACATTTAAAAAATTATTGTTTTAGAAAAAGAAGTAGAGAATTTAAAATAAGATTATAATAAATTTATTTAGAATTATGAATAAGCACAATTAGAATTAGATTAATAAATAAGAAGAAATGATGATTAAGAATCAGTCATTAACTAATTATAAAAAAAGAGTAAAACTTTACCAAATAATAAAAAGAGAATTAAGATAAAATACAAAAGTATTTAATAGAAAAAGATAATGCTACATTAAAAGCATAGTAAATAGAAAAGACTTTAGATTAGATTGAAAATAATGTTAAATATATAAAAACAATATTATAAAATAACATTTTATAATATATATATATATATATATATATATATATATATATATATATATATATATATATATATATATATATATATTTATATATAATTTTATATAGCATAAAATGGAACTTAATGATTTAAAAAAAAAATAAGAGAAATAATTTGAATAGAAAATTGTTAATTTTAAAAAGTAAATTGAAGATAAAGAATAGTAAATAAATATCTTAAATGAACGAATTGAATAACTGAATTAAGAAAAATATTAATTACAAAAATAATCTAATTAGAATTTAAAATAAGGTTAAAGTCAAAATTATTAAAAAAATGATTAAAATACAGACCTTAAACAATAAATTAAAGAATTGTAAGATAAATTACAGGTATTATATTTTTTTAAAATATATATATATTTTTTTTATATATAATAATATCTCAAAAATTTTATTAAAGTTACTTGAATAATATAATGATAGCTAAATTAATTAAATCTAAATAGAAAAAAAATTATTAGAAAATAATAATAAGCATTAATAAGATACATTAAATGAACTAAAGCATCAAAATGATTAAATTAGATCAGAAAATTTAAGATTGTAAAAAGAAAATTAAGATTAAAGCTTTAAAGTAAACCTAAAAGCTAAAGAATAACAATAAATTATAGAAGAAATTGACTAAATTAAAAGAGTGTTTCAAAATAAATTAGATTACTCATAATAATAATTTAATATAAAAATTTAAGAAATTTAAGAGGATCTTAATGATTCTGTCAATAGAGAAAAATAATAACGTGAGAAGATAAAAGATCTAATCTAATACAATAAAGAAGTTATTTATATATTCTTAATAATTTTTATAATTTTTATTTTTTTTTTAAAAAAAAAAAAGCTTGAATAAAAATTCTAATAAGAAATAGAATATTAAAAATCAGCACATAAAAAGTTATTAGAAGAGACTAAATAGTTATATCAATAGTAATATTTTAAAAATAATAATTAAAAAATTTTATCTAATTTTTTTTTATATTAATTTAGAGATAAAACAAAAAAACTAAATGCAAGAAACTTTTGATTATTTATTTCTATATATTTATTTATTAAAAGCATATTATTAATTTTTTTATTATAACAAAAAATATAAAATTAAATTAATAAATTAAATATTTATTATTTATTTTTTATTGAATAAATATTATAATTTTATTTAAAGATAAGGTAAAGACTCGAAATTTTTTATTTTTTTATTTTATATTTCATTTAATTTGAATATATTTTTTTTAAAAAATAAAAATAAAAAAGTAAATGAAGTTTTTTTATATATTTTATGTGCTTATTATTTTTGAATTTATTTATGAATTAATGTTACTTAGGCCATTTTAGGTAATTTAAACTTTAAATTGAGAAAAAATTTTAATAATAAAAAAATATTTATGTACTTTAATAATAATAATATATATTATATAATAAAAGATCGATTAATATTCATTATATTTAAAAACATAAAAATTGGCTAAAATTTTATAATATGTAAATAATACATTATTTCTAATACTAAATAATTAAAAAATTAAAAATATGATGAATTTTTTTATATTTAAATAAAAAATATTAGTTATTCATTTTTATTTTTCCTTTATTTAGTCTTTTAAAAACTCAATGGACAATAAAATATTCATTTATTTTGAAATTTTGACTATTACTGTAATTTAATTTATTATTTTACATGTAAGGGTGTATATTCATCTATAATATCATCTTCAATAATATTTTAAGTATTAATAATTAATTTATTGCTATTATTTTAATTTTTTTATATTAATTTCTAATTATTATCTATTTAGACAATACTTTTTTACTATTTAGAATTTTATAGATGTTTTTAACCATAAATATATTCAATATTTTATAATTAATTACTACTATCTAATTTATTTGTTTTTTATAATTGTAAAATACTTGATTATTAAGATTTAATTTCATTATTAGTTATTTTTTTTGATTATGCTTTATTTCCAATAATTTCTTCTTTTTATATATAATTTAATGATTTTTCTTATTTCTTTTATATTTAATCTATATTATTATTAGTATATTAAGTTTATTTTTACTAATTTTTATTTAAAAACTTTTCCAGTAAAAATGATGGTTTTCTTGAAGTAGATTCTATTTTTTTAGCAAATTATTCAACATCTAAATGTTCGTTATAATTATCTAAAAATAATGATTTTATTTAGTTAATGCTTTCTTTACTACTTATATTATTTTTAGTATTTATTATAGTTTTTTTTTTTATTATTATTTATTTATATCTTCTATTTTTTAATTATACTCATTGTCTATATATTCGTTTTAATTATCTAAAAATAGTGATTTTATTTTGTTAATGCTTTCTTTACTGTTTAAATTATTTTAAGTATTTAATATAGTTTTTTTTTTATTTTTTATCAATATCTTCTTATTTTTAATTATCATCTAAATATTTGTTTTAATTATTTAAAAATATTGATTTTATTTTGTTAATGCTTTCTTTACTTCCTAAAATGCTTTAAGTGTTTTTTTGATTTTATCTTTTATCAATATCTTCTTATTTTTAATTATATTCATCGCCTAAATATTCGTTTTAATTATCTAAAAATATTGATTTTATTTTATTAATGCTTTTTTTACTGCCTAAATTGTTTTAAGTATTAATTGCAGTTAATTTTTTTTTATATTTATCTATATCTTCTTATTATTAGTTTTATTCATCGTCCAAATATTCGTTTTAGTTATCTAAAAATGTTGATTTTATTTTATTAATGCTTTTTTTACTACCTAAATTGTTTTAAGTATTAATTGCAGTCAATTTATTTTTTTATTTATCTATATCTTCTTATTTTTTTATATTTACTTGAGAAGTTTATTTATTATCTTTTAATATTTGTGATTTTTGTTAATATTTACTTAATATTTAAGATTTTTGTTAATTAATATTTGGAAGATTTGGAATTTATTCAATAATTAATTAGCTTAACTAGTTTTAGGTATTTTTAAAATTATATTAGTTTTACCTTTATATGGGTAATTTTTCTTAATTTTAAGTGTCGCTTTATTGTTAATCTAATTTCTCTTTTTTTTTTTTTCTCTTTTTAGATTTAGTAATTAAAAAATCTCTATTTTTTGTTTATTACATATTGTGCTTTGGTAAATTATATTCTCTATGCGAATATATATGATTTTGAGGATATCTACTTTTTGAATTATTATAATATAATTCTGATTAGTTTTAATTTTAAGGCGAATAAGATTTTTTGTACTAATAATTATTGTCGATTGGTGAATAATTATTTTGATTATAACCTTAGTTAATAAAATATTATTAATTCAAATACCTATTACTATTTATATATTATTTTAAAGGAGTTTAAAATTTACTATATTAATTATTTTCAAATATATTTTTTTATAATTAATTATTATTTTATGGAAAATTTTCTATCTTCATATTTATCATTTGCTAAGGATGAATAAAATTTAAATTGGTTTAATTATTTATTTATTAGTTATTATTAAATACATTTTTTTAATTAAATTATGGAATATTTGATGTTGGTAATTATGTATTTTACGTTTAATATTATAAGAAATTTTTTTGTGTATTTAACTTTTATTAAAAATAAATGAATATCGAAAATATTTATTTTTTATTTTATACTTCGGAATTATAATAATTTTTTAAATTAGATTTAGATTAATCCTTATCAATTAGCTAGCTTAAATATTAAGCATATACTTTATAATTTATTTCATGTATATATGCTCTCGAATAATAATAATCTTAAAAATCATTTTCATCATCATTACTTAAATTTTCTTATTCTTTAAAAATTTATTTGTTAATTATTTTTTTTTCTTTTTTTATTTTATTTCGTGCATTAGAGTTTGTTTTTATTTTTTATTTTTTTTTAAAGAAAATGTATTTTATTAGTAAATTAAATTTATTATTTTAATAATTATATAATAATTCTAAGATAATAAAAATACTTAATTATTAAAGGAATGTATTTATTTATTTAAAAAAAAAATTATTAAATTGATTTATTTTATTTCTTTAAAAAAAAAAAAAAAATTATTTTGAAATATTATTTATTTTAAATACTTAAATTTGTTAAAAATGAATATTTTTGAGATATTTTAGCATGAAAATTAAATAAATAAAAATGTAATTGAAGGAATTATAAAATTATAAACAGAATGGATAGCATTTAAACAAATAATAGATAATTTATTTACTAATTTAACAAATAATTGTAATTTATATATATTTTAAATTATTAATAAAAATAGAAAACGAGACAAAAACATTATGGACAGGAATAATATAAAGTTCTCCTTCTTTAATTAAAATAATAAAAGAATATTATTTCAGTAATAAAATATATTTATAAAAATATATTTTAACATAAAAATATTATAAGATTAGTTTAATAGATTTATTTAAAGAGAATATAAATAAGAATTTTTAAATATTTTAGAAAAATAAAATAACTCTGATGAGATTAATTCTTATAAATTTATTAAAGCCTTACTTTCTATTAATTTAAAATACAAATACCATTTTAATTTTTTGAATTAATTAGATGCGATTAGTTATAGCTTAAATGAAAGGTTAGGAATGGCTCAAATTTTATAACAAAATATTAGTCTAAATCTAATTGATTTATTTGATTTAAATAAGAATATAGATAAATTCTATAAGTATTTATATATTATATAATATTTTGGTTAAAAAATAAAAAATAGAAAAGAAATAATTAAATTTATGAAATTTGTTGTAAAAGAACATTATTCTTAAATAGATCATTCGTTAATAACAGATAGTAAAAGATAATAGATTTAAAGAGAATAAGATAATTTTTAAGTTGAAGTAAAGAAAATACTGTATTTTATTTTTATAAAATATTATTATAAAAGATATATGAAAGTTTCTTCCAAATTTCTATTGAGTTAGGTTTTTATACAAAATCAATTTAAATTTTAAAAGAAGTACTTTAAAACGATATAAATGAATATATAGAAAATTAAAAAGAATAGCTCGAAAATAATACACCAATTTTAAAAAAATGCATTTCTTATTTTTCAAACTTTCATCTTAATTTTTTATAAGTAATAGCTTAAAGTGTTAAAACTATTATAAGTAAAGAAATATAATTAGAATAATTATAAAATGAGTTAAAATGCTTATAAGAATAGCTATTAAATAAAATATATGAGATATACTGCAGGATATGTATAGATAAAATATTTAGAATAGTTCTCGAATTTCCCGATTCTTATGAAATAACCTAAGAACTAAAAGAAACATTAGAAAAGTCAAATTTAGTAAATAATTTATATATATATAAAAACAATAATTTTTAATATTTAAAGGTTTATGAATTAAGTGATTATTTAGTTTAGTAAATTAACACTAGACTTCTTATTCCTGGTGTTATTACTATGAATATATTAAGTTAATACATAAATTGTTTATAAATTTTATAAATTATTGATCCTAAAGGTCTTATATTAGGTTAAATATAAAATATTTAATTATATGTTTTAATAAACAAACAAACAAAAAACTAGAAAAAATAACTATCCCTATTAAAAGATATCTTCTTAAAAGAAAAGATACATTAAGATGTATAATAGAACATTTAACAGACGATAAAAATACTAATAAATTAGTTGCTGAAAGATTAAAAATACCATCTAAATTTTAAAATTATGATTTGTCTTCTGACGAAGATGAGGGGGAAGCTGAAAAATGGGAAGTTTAATTTTTTTAGTAAAAAAAATCTGAATCAATAAGTAAGATTTATTTTAAATTTATTGTAACAATAGTATATTATATACTAACAAACAAAAAAAAAAAGAAATCAAATACTAAGAAAGTGATCTTTTAAGTATTTTAGTAAACTTATATGGTTCTTAAGAAGCTTTTATTAGTGAATATTAAAATATGTTGGCTGAAAAAATGATGGGAACTCGTCATTTTGATATAGATGAAGAAATTAAAAACCTAGAACTCTTAAAACTTAGATGTGGAGACTATTCACTTTAAGTAAACAAACAATAATAAAATAATCCACTCTATTTCAAATATTATTTATATTTGATAGATATGTAATATAATAGTCAAAGATGTAAAAGATTCTAAAAGAATTGATAATTTAATACACAGTTATAGAAAGCCAATATAGCCAGAATAAAAATTAAAAAATCATCTTCTTTCAATAGATTAATTGCATTGCATGTTCGTTTCTAAAGGATATTGGCCAATAAATTATGAAATAGAAGGAATTCCACTTCCTACTTATTTAGAGCCTTTATTTAAGGAATATGCTGAAAGATTCGAAAGAAATAAAGCAATGAGAAAACTTATTTGGCATACAAATTTAGGACATGTTAATTTATCCTTAACATTTGATAATGGAGAGTTTGAATTTAAATGTTTACCAGTACACGCTATTCTAATTGGTTATTTTGATGAAACAAGTAGAATATTTATTTATTTTCTTTATGTATTTTTAATATATATTAATTTAGGATTTAATTAAGAAAAAGGAGTTGCTTCTGATTTTTTAAGTACGGAAACGGGAATTCCTTAAAATATTATTAAATAAAAAATGGCTTTTTGGGTACACAAAGGTATCATAAAAGAATTTAAGAAATAAAATATGAAAGAATATTAATAAAATAATTTTTTGATGTAAAAACAAAGTTAAAGATATAATGATGCTGAAAACAATGAAGCTATAGATGGAGATGTTAATATTTATTTCCCTGTTAAGGTCTATGAAAAATTTAGGGATTCTGAAAGTAAAAAAAAATCATTAGTATTTATTTTATCTATATATATTAAAATTATAATAAGATTTAATATATTGCGAAGATGAAGAAAATGAAATGATTTTAAGGGATTAAACTTATGCTGGGTTAGAAAATACTTAATTTATGAAAGTAAATATTTGTTTATTTTCTATTAATAAATTTTATTTAAATTAGTATTTAGAAAATTTGATTATTAACATTTTGAATAAAACTGGACCTAGGTCCGTTTAAAAACTTCATACATTATTAAAAACATTATATAAATCTGATTTAGAATATCCAGTCTAAGAAGATTAAGTAAAACAAGTGTTGTAAAACATGTTAGCAGTAATAATATATAAAATTATATTAATTATGAATATATATTTAAAAGAAACATAAATTAAATTATAATGGAGAAGAATATACTCTTCAATCTTAAAATAATTGCTATATTACAGAATGAAAGATATTTACTTAATTACATATAAAAATAAATTATAAATTTATTAATATTTTCATAAATAAATTTAAATATAAAAAAAAAACATTAAAAATAATTTTTATATATATATATATATAAATTTAAAAAAAAAAATTAAAAATAATATTGTAATAAATAAAAATGTAATATATATAATTTTCTATATTATATTATAATTAATTTATATTTTAAATATTAAATATGATTGACAAAAAAATATTAGAAGAAAATAAATTATTGAATATTATATATTGGGAAATAAAAATTAAAAAAATATAAATTAAAAAAATAATGATTATATATATATAATAATATGTATAAAAAAAATATATATATAATTATATAGATAAAAATATATAATATATATTTATATATATATACTATATTATATATTTATATAAATACCTTTATATATTTTTATTAATCTCTTTTATATATATTTTTATAATTAATATTTTTTTTTTTATTTTTAAAATATAACTTTTTAAATATTTACTTTATTATATATCTTTTATCTTAAATATATATTTATATAAATCTTAAATAAAATTCTTTTTCGTTTTTTTGAAAGTACAACAAAATTTAAACTCCAATATTCATTTTTTTAATATTTCTATGTATATATTTTAGATATTTATATTTTTTTAAGAATTATAATGTATTGAAATAAAGAATCATATTTAAATAAAAAAATATATTTAAATTTTATTTAAAAATATTTAATTTCTAAAATCAAGAATCTTCTTATTTAAACTTAATATCAAATTTATTTTTTATAATTATAATTAATTTTAAATAATTCAGATATATAAAAATAAACTTTATATAATTTACATTTTAATAATCATAAATAATAAAAAAAACTCATATAATTTTTTATTTTAGAAAATTTTCTCGAATATTTTTTTATTTTATTATTTTAATGATTTTAAAATAAATAAGTTAATATTTTATAATTAAATAAAAATCCTATAATATTTATACTTCAACAAATATCTATAAAAATAAATAATAATACATAATTTTTTTCTTTTTATACATACAATAAAAATATTTTAACAATGTTTTTATTAACTTAATAATATATTCCTAATTGGTGAAAAAAAAACTATTTATTTACTAAATAATTTATAAAATTAATCATCTGTATAATATTATGTATTTAATTTTATTTTATTTTTCATTTTTTTTTTTCTTCTGGTTCATATGTTTCTTTTCATATTAATTTTTTTAGATAAACCTAACATTTTAATTATTATTTTTAATAATATGTTTATACATTTTCTGAGAAATTATTATTTCTTATCAATTTTTTGTTTCTTTTCTTTCAATTAAAGTTTTTATTATTCAGTTATTGTATGTGCACGAAGTATTTTTACCGGTTTTAATTAATCTTCAAATAATTACAATAATCTTTATAAAAATTATAAATTATTAATTTAACAATAATATAAAATTTATTTATGTATAAAAATAAGCATACTCATTATCCACATCAGTCAAAGGTTTTTAAGCTCCTGAGGTAGCTTATATATGCATATATTATGTCTATCTTCCGAATCTAATATAAACACAGCGACTTTTTAGAATTCTGTATTAGCTCCAGCTTGTCATCAAATCCTAATTAATATAAGGCTAAGTAATATATTTTACTTAGTTTTGTATAATTGTTTTCTTATCTTATAATAATATATTTGTGATCTATACAAAACCTAGAACGACACAATTTAAATTAGTGATATGATTTATTATATTATTTGTTTGGTTCAAAAAAAAAATTAATGGTTCTACTTTAATTTAACATAAAATTCTTTATAATTAAGCAGTAAAAAAAACTTATATTGGGTATATGGGTTAAAAAATAAACACTCATAAAATTAAGTTTTAATATAAAAAAGGAAAAAATCTTATAAAAATAAGAGTTTTCTATTAATTTTTATAAATTAAATAGATTTATAATTAAACAAAAAAGATATTTAAGTTAAAAAAATGAAAAGATAAATAAAAAGGAATAAATTATTACATAAAAAGAAACCAATAAAAATAATTTGAAAGTAGAAAACAAATACTTTAGTGAATGCACTAAGTTTTTAGACATTCATAAATTCGATAAATAAAATCTAGTTCTTGGAAGAAAATTTAAAAAAATTCTAATTTAAAAAAATGGAGTCTTAATGAATTTAAATTAACTTATCAGATTATGAAAAATTTAAATAAGAAATTGATAAAATAAAAGTATATAATGTAAAAAAATTTAAAAGAAGACTATGAAAATTAAAAAAAGATAAATAAAGGGTTAAAATATTTGTAAAAAAACTTAAATTAATATATCTATTAATTAATTTTAATAAAAAAGAATATGAACTAACAAAATAATTATATTTTTCTAATAGCTTTATCAATTGTATCAGAAAAAAAATTCTGAATAATTTAAAAATACTAAAAAAAATAGGAAATAAATAAAAAAAAAAAAAAATAGATATAAACATTATAAAAATATTAAATCTTAAATATTTAAAAATAAAAGTTAAGAATAAATAATAAATAAAAAATAATTAAAATCTGTTTTGTATAAAATGAAAATTATAATTCTGATAAAAAAAATAATAAAAGATAAATAAAAATTATAAATGTTTCATATATAATTAAATAAAAAATATTTAAAAACATGTATATATAAATATATATAAATAAATTATATTATTAATAAATATATTTATAAAATAAAAAAATTATAAATATATGTAACTTTTTAATAGTTTACTAATTATATTTTTTTTAGAAAATACATTTTTTTTTTTTAATTATAAATTAATTAATAAAATAAAATAACTATTATATATAATTGATTTAAAGTAAATATAATATGGAAATAATAAATAACAATATTGGAAAATCATTTAGGTTTATCGAAAAAATTGATTAAGGAGCATTCGGTGAAATATATTTAGCTAAAGATGTTTTAAGTGGTAAAGAAGTTGCAATAAAATTAGAAAAAGCTGATTCTAAATCTAAATTACTTTGTTACGAATCAAAAGTATTACAGTATTTAAATTAAGACATTAATATATAAGGATTTCCTTAAGTATATTATTGTTCTTAAGAAGAATAATATAATATAATGGTATACGAATTATTAGGTCCTTCATTAGAAGATTTATTTAATATATGTAGTCGCAAATTTTAACCTAAAACAGTAGCAATGATAGGATTATAAATATTAGAGCGTTTATAATTTTTACATTCTAAATATTTTATACACAGAGATATAAAACCAGATAACATTTGTGTAGGATTAGGCAAAAATAGTAAAGTTTTATATCTTATTGATCTAGCTTTTTCCAAAAGATTTATTTAAAAAGACGGTTTACATATTCCTTTTTGTGAAGGTAAAACTTTAACAGGGACAGCAAGATACTCATCAGTAAAAACTAATAAATATATATTAATATATTTTAAATTAAACTTAAAATAATTAAAAGATAAATGCATAAAAAGGTTATGAGTAAAGTAGGAGAGACGATTTAATTTCATTAGGTTATATGCTTATTTATTTTATGAAAGGCAAATTGCCTTGGCAAGAATTAAAAGCTCAAAATTAAAAGGAAAGATTTGAAAAAATTTTAGAGAAAAAATAATATCATAATCTATAGTAATTATGTGGAAAACTCTCAGAAGAATTACTTGAGTATATGAAGTATTGTACTTAATTGGAATTTGATAAAAAACCAGATTATAATTATTTAAAGAAAATATTTACTGATATGTATGAAAAAGCCAATATTGAAAAAAATGATGACTTTTAATGGAGTATAGTTGTTTAAGAATGTGAATATATAAATTGAATAAAATATTTTTTTTTAAGAAAATAAATAAATAAAGAATATACTTATATATGTTTGTTTAAAATATAAAATTAGATTTGAAATAGTGGTTTAAATACTTATTTTTTTTGAGAAAAATGATAATTTGTACACTACATATTTAAAGACTTATTTTTTTAAAAAAAATCATACTATTTATGTTCCATGTACTTCCCTAGCACCTGTATATTCAACTATTTCTTAATAATTATCTTTATTTATTCCTTTACCAGGCATAATAATAATTCTATTATTTGCTTTTTCAATTAAATCTTTTATTTATTTTTTTCCTTCAAGGGCATTCGAAAATTTACCTCCTTTAGTTAATATTCTATCGATTTATAAATTAACAAGCTATTCTAAACCTTAAAAAATATCATCTATTTCATCAAAAGCCATATGAAAAGTAATTTTTAATGGTTTTGCACATTAAACTAACTCTTATGTAGTATTTAAATCAATTGATTTTTAATCTTAATTTAAAACACCAAAAACAACGCCATAAGCATTTAATTTCTTACATATTTCTATGTCACTTTTCATTATTTCTATTTCTTCTTTGGTGTAAGTAAAATTTCCACCACGTGGCCTTACCATTACGCTTATTGGAATATTTAATAGGTTTAAACATGCTTTAATAGTACCGTATGAAGGAGTAGTTCCTCCATGTAATAAATTTTCACAAAGTTCTATTCTAGAAGCACCTTTTTATTGACATAACAAAGAAGATTAAAAACTTTCAGTACATGCTTCAAGTGTTATATTATTAACTATATTCATTTTAAATAAATAAAGTTTATAGGTAAAATAAAATAAAACTAAATAAAACTAAATAAAACTAAATTAAATTAAATTAAATTAAATTAAATTAAATTAAATTAAATAAATTAAAATAAAATAAAAAAAAGAAAAAACAAAAAAAAACAAAAAAAAACAAAAACAAAAATATATATATAAAAAAAAATATTTAAAAATCTATCAAAATAAATTTTAATATGTAAATTTTTTTATTAATATTTATATATATATTAAACGATAAAATGATAAAAAATAATTTACAAAATAAATTTTTATAAAATTGATTTTTTTTTACAAATAAATAATTTTTAATGATAATTATTATTTTTTTTTTAGTTATTTTATTTTTAAAAAACCATTTTTTTTTTTAATATATTTTTTTATTATACAAATATTAAAAAAATTTTTTTTTCAATAAAAATTTCTATTGTTTGTATTTTCTTCTAAACATTTTGTTTGGTTTTCTAAATTATTTAACAATTCTTATAGTTATTCTTTATTAAAATTCAACTAATTTAATTTATATTACTAATGACTTTATCTAGATTTATGATAATAAAAATATGTTTTCATTTCGTTTTCTAAAGTTTTTAATTCATTTATTAAATTATTTTCTAAATTTTTATTTTTAATATTTAATGCATTTTCTAACATTTCTTTTTCTTATTTTAATTTAACTAACTCTTGTTTTTATAAGGATAACTAATATTAGACTTCATTGAATATGGTTTAAGCGTTTTACAGTTATTATTATAAGCTAGCAGGATTATGAAACTATTTAAAATAAATATTTTATTATGCTTAAGTAAATTATTTATTAATTAAATTATTTCTGACATTATTTTATATTTTTTATTAAGATTAAGTTATAATTAAGGAATTGTCTTACATATTTTAAAATTTATAATTTTTAATATTATTTTAATATAATAAAAATAAATTTTAATAAAAAATAAAATTGTCTATTTTTATTAATATATAAATTAAATCTATTTATAATTTCAAATTAATTTCAAAATAGGGTTTTTTATATTAATTATAATATAAAAGAAACATAATTTTTTTTTTTTCACAAATTAAAAATTATTAAATTATTATTATTTTTTTTCAGTTATAATTCGGCTTTAGATTTATTATATAAATTAAAAATAATACCATACAAATAATTTTTGTTTTAAATATATATTTTTTTTTATAAAATATTACATATAATATGAAAATTAACTTAAACTAGTATCATATATTGTTTTTATAAATAATTATTAATTTTTTTTTTAATAGTAACTTCAATAACTATTAATTTTTTATAATTTCTTGAATTTAAGCTTAATATATTTATCTATACAAATTTTAAAAAATACTTTTATATATTATTTTTCATTTTTATTTTATTTAATTTTGACTTTATTTTATCAGATTAAATTTTAATTATGATTTAATTAATTATTATTATCATTAATCTAATAATTTTAAAAGGAATTAATCTATTTCTTATGAAATTCTATCTCCAATTATGCTTAACTCATTTTATTTTTTAATTCATTTATATCCTATTTGATAAAATAAATGTATTTTTTTTTAAAAAAAATAAAAAAATAACTTGAATAAATTATTTTTTTTCATTTTCAGCATTTTCAACATATTAATCATATTCTATTTAAATATTAATAAGTTCTTCATTCATATTTTATTCTATTTATTCAAAATGTTCATTTTTTTCCTATAGATGTGTTATATCGTTTATTTTGCTATTAACAATGAATTTTTATTCTTCTAATTCATCAAGAATTTATTTTATTTTTTAATTATTAAATTCTTCTTTTTCTTTCATAAATTTTATTCTTTCCTCGCTAGTATATGAAAGATTTTCTAAATTACTATTTCTAATTTTTAGTTCATGAATTATTCGGTTTTTTTGAGTTATATCCATATTAATTTAATCAATAAGCTGTTATTTAAAATTTATTTGCTAGATTAGTTAATTACTTAAATTTGTCATTTGCTTTAAGTTTTTAGATTTTATATTTAATATTTTTAATGATTATTTTTAATTATCTTTGTTCATTTGCTAGAGTTTTTTATTTAATTAATGCAAGCATTCATTTTCTTATTATAGTTCTTTGTATTTAATAAGCATATTTTATAAAGCACTAATTTTCTCCATATATTCTTTTACTTATTATAATTAACTAATTCTTGAAGTTGTATTTTATTTTTATATTTACATCAATTATTATTAAAGTTCTTTTATTTTTTAGGTTTAGCTTTCACAATAATTTCCTATAATCGTTTAATCTACTAAATCTTCCTTTTAATTTTCGAATTCTTCTAACTTAGTCATTTTTGCATTTAATAAATTTAAATAATCTTAATTAAGTTAAGTTATTTAGTTTCTATAATCTTATTCTCTGTTTTCAATTTATTTTTCTAATTTAAGATTTTCGTCTTTTATATTTAATTATAACTATTTTAGTTAATTTACTATATCTTAAATTTATTAAAAATCATTTATTTTTTACTATTATTAATAATAAACTTAATCATTTATTAATTCCATTATTTCTTTAATTAAGTGTTTTTAAATTTAACCTAAATTTTAATTAGATTCTGAGTTTTCATTAAAATTATTTATGACTTAAATATTATTTTCTTAAACGTTATTATTTATTATATCAATATTATTTATTTATTCATTTTCATTTATATTTTGTTAGATAGGTTAAAATTACATAACTGCAGGTTTTTATTTCGGTTATTTTGACTTTAAAGCTTCATTTCTTTAGCGAAGGTTTCTAGCTACAGGTCTAAGCATTTGAGATTTAGCATCATTAGTATTTTAAGTTACACTCGAATCTTTTTCTTCTTATTATTCTCTTTTAGGTATAAGAGGTGGAGGTTCATTAATAGTACAATCCTGTTATTAATCATCATCATCATCAAATATATATTTTTTTTAAACAGGGTCATATCTATAATTATTTGTTACTCCTTAAAGATTAACTTATGTTGCTTCTTCAGTTTTTCCTTCTTTTTTAAAAATATTTTTAATCTTTTTAATCAATCCGCTTTATTAATTTTATGATATTTAATTATCCTTTTTTTTTATTTATTTTTATTAATTGTCTTAATTCTCTTCCTCAATTTAATTGTTTTTTTCTTAAAAAATTTCTTATTCTTATTACTAATTATTTACTTCAAAATTAGGTTTTTATTATTAGTAAAACTAACTTATATTATTGTTAATATTTTCTTATATTTCATTTATTCTGTCATCATTATTAATTTTTTTTCCAAAAGAAAGTAATAATGTATCAAAATGATCTTTTATTTAATTTAAATTAAATTAAAAAGGCTAAATTTGGAAAGTTTATTCAATTTAGTTTAAAATTTTAATAAAGCATTAATTTACTTATTTTTCTAACTAGGTTTTTATTTGATTTTCTATTTCATATATTGTATTTTCTAACTTTTTTTCTATTTTTGATAAATCAATTTCTTTTTTTCTTTATAAGAATTTTATGATAAACCTAACTTAACATTTTAATAGCTTTCTTTCTCATCCTATAAAATCAAAATTTAACTATTTAAATTTTCAATTATATTTGTTATACAATCTAATATTTAAGAATTTTTTAACTGATTCATTATTTTTTAAAAATGTGCCAAAAAAAAATAAAAATAAAAATATTTTATTTATTGTTTTTATAAATATCAAATTTTATGTATTTATAAACACGTGTAAATATAATTAATAATGTATTTTGTACAAAAAATAATATAAAAATTATCAAACAATATTATAATTATATATTTGAACTTTATATATTGAATTTGATCTATTGAAAAAAAATTAAAGTTAAGTTATATATATATATATATATATAATTAAATAGTTTAATTATAATTTTATAAAAGATTTTAAATTTCATTAATTATATTAATTGAAATTTAATATTTTCATTTTTAAATACATTATTAAATAATCTTATATTTAATATTTTTTTATATTTGTTTATATTTGATTTAGGTTTCATTATTTAGATTACTATTACTCTTTTATTAAGTTTTTTTCTATTAGTATTTCATCTTCTTTTTTTTTAGATTCTATAAATATTAATTTTAGTATTAAATTAAATTAGTTACAAATCATTATAAATAATTTTTACCTAGTCTTTTTATAGTGCTTTTATAAACTATATTTTCATCTTTATTTTTTTTAAATAAAATATATATATTATAAATAAATATGATAATTGATTTTTAATTTATATTAACATATTTTTGTATTTATTATCATATATTCCATTAATGCTCCAAATATAAAAGCATTTCTACAGTGCTTTATTAATATTTGATTGCCAGCTTATTATGATAGTTATAATTTTTCTGTTGTTATTTAAAATCTATTAAATTTTCCTAATTTTTATAAATATTTGTTTATGTTTTAATTCGACATTAATTTTAGATTAAAAAGAAACTTTAAATATTTATTATATACTTTATAATTATATATGTATAAATATAATTAACATTATATATAAAAAGTCTAAAAAAATAAATACGTATTACATTACATACATTACTTAAATAAAAATAATTTTAATATAATAAAATATAAATACAATTACAAAAATGCTTGAAGAATATTTCAAAAAAATAATTTTTGGATATATTGGGTAGTTTCTTGAAGTAAATTATTAAAGTTTATATATATTTAAAAGAATTTTTTTAAGTTATTTATATTAAATGATAATATAATAATTATTTTATATTAAGCATATTTAATTAATAATACACTATTTTTTAAAAAAGAACTTCAATACAAATGATATTTTATTAAATAAATGGAAGGGAAACATAGAATTAAAAAATTTAAATTTAAGTAAATCTTATATTTATGACTTAGGCTTATAAATAGGTATTTTTTTTACCGATTATTATTAAAATAATTATTATTGGAAATGTCTTAATAAATTATATTA